AGGGTTAAGGTGCCCATACACCTTACGATTATCGGACTAAACTTTTCGTCCGATGATCGAACCGTCGTACGATTTTCGTACGACGGCCCCATCCTGCCCCGATTATCGCAAGGTTCAATCAGCGGTAGTTAGAAAAAAACACCTGGACGACTTGCGGTAATTGACCGCAATTATTTTCGTTTGCGCATGCGCAGTGTTAATCGTACGACATTTGACGGACGGAAACGCCACCAACCATGCGAATATCGTACGATCAACCAAAGTTTTCAAACATGCTTGACCGTCAAAAGTCGTACGATTGTACAGTACTATCGGTCGGGCACTCTATTCACACGTTACGATTGTCGTACGAAAAGTCGATCGCATACGATTATCGTACGATAATCGTAAGGTGTATGGGCACCTTTAGGGAATGATGTGAATAAATAGTCTGTAAAGAGCTGCATAAACTTGTGGCATTATATAAATACGTGTAAAAAATAGTACATATTTTGAGTTATTATTGTAAACTTTTCTGAAAGTATAAAGTGATGTGACTTTCATATTTGACATTATTGTATTCAGTGCTTCATAAGCATGTATTCCATGCACAGATTATTTTTTTTTGCTCCCTCTAGTGTCTACCTGTATATCAGATACTGCTGAGTGATTGCTAAGGTAAAATGTAGGGTCGACCAGAAAAAGTATTGCTTTTAAAACAGTCTCAGCAGACCGCTAACCTATACTGAGAAAGATAAACAGTCACTGCAGAACTACTAAGTGGAAAGCACAGCCTGCGCATGTAACACAGCCACTGCATGAACAGATATAACCCCAAACTAAAATTTATCGAAAAAGTAAAAATATATATACAGTAGTGATCAAATGTATTTCCATATTGAAAAGCCTTTTAAAATGCTATAGTGTCTCTTCAGGGTTTGCCATTTCTAGACTCCCTATACACTTACCGCACATCCATCATGCAGGGCTGCAATGAAGGGACTGTTGTCGTATGAAATTTCCTCATCATTTGAACCCAGGAACCGCAGGGCCTTGTCATAGTTGTTGTTAACAGCATCATGCCAAGCCACTGATTGGTGACAGCTGTATGTAAAGTTCTGGCGGGCTGAGGAGCTGAGAAGTCTCAGGAATGTCATTTGAACTTGGTTAATGCTGTTGCCTTCAACATCCACATAAGAAAGCTATAGGGAGAAAGTAAGATTGATATTCAAACTCATATTACCTATGAAATGACATACTTATCTTACAGTGAGTTTGGCATTAAAACATATCTAAAGGCAAAGATGTTTTTGAGTTTTGGATTACATGGAGAATAATTAGACCCTTTGTTAAGTTTTATTTATTGTTGTCTGTGTCTCCATTGGGAAGATTCACCCCTACATTTTCCTTTGTGACTACTGTCTGTGAGGCAAAGTAAGAGAAAATACTAAATGTTTGAGTTGCTACCAGAGCAAGAAACAAGAGTAATTCATCCACATGCTCGGGTAACAACTAACATGATAATTTGCCTTACTTTGAGGATATTGCCTCTCATTTGCTGTTGGGTCTACCGGAGAGGTAGTGAAGGAAAATCTCCACAGCAGGACGTAGACAACAATAAATAACCTGATAAGTGTTTTAACCCTAGTCTGCAGAAAACAAACAGAAACACATTGTTTATACATTTACTTTAATCAATGGATTCTAATGGTAAAATTATAAGTAGTGCAGTACAGTAAGATGATTTTTTTTAAATGTATGTTAAATTATCAAAAAGACACTTGATGTAGACTATAGATGTATGTTTTCACCTGATTTTTGTATATTCCCCAAAAAAATATACTATAGTTTAAATGAAAACTACTGAATATTATTTAAAGGCAGCACTAAATACCCCAAATACATAGACAAGCAACCCTTAAAGAAGAACTATGAGGTGAGTGCTTTCCACTCACTTCATAGTTCTAGCCGACCTGTGACAATGAGACTGTCACAGGTCGGCTCAGTAGATTGGGAAGTGAGCGAACACATACCAGCGTTTGCTCACCTCTCGATCCTGTCACGGCTCTCTGCCGTGACAGGGGAGGGGCTGAGTTCCCCCCTCCCCGCTCCGATCCACCAGTGCTGACTGGCCGAACGGACGAGGGAGGGGCGGGTACAGCTGGCTCTGCCTCTAGATAGGCAGAGCCAGCTGTCAGTCACGCAGCTGGGCAGATCCCGGCACAATTGTCGGGATCCGCTTCAGCTGCGGCGTCTCAGTATAGCGGTATACTGAGCCTAGGGTGACGGGAGGACGCTAGTTTGTGTCCTCCCGTTACCCTAAGTAGAACTATGGGGAAAAGCCTTAACCCCATAGTTCTCCTTTAAGGAGGTTATGAAAGTCAGAAGGATTAAGAATTCACAAGCATTTGGCTTACCAGTTTTCCTCTTTTGAATTCACTGAACCAGGAACCAGGGTTTTCTTTTGGCCAGGATGAAATTCGTACCTAATATCATGGAGAGAGGCATTGATCAATTGAAGCTTCATTAAAGAGAATACTGTAGAATACTGAATACTGTATTATTTTTCCATATATTTTCTATATTTGTGTATTACATTTTGGAATACAATTTTTCAATATTTTGTTTCATTTTAGTCAGGAAATATAAAATCTGGCATATAAATATTTCACATTTACCGTTTTGCATCCAGCAGGTGAATTTCTGCTACACCAGGGTTTCAGATTACAGAAATACTGCTGAGCTGTGAATACCTGTTTGCTGGATGCTGGACTTCGGGTAATGCACACTAAATAAGTTAGCTAGATCAGTGCTCCCCAACCTTTTTATCGCCGCGGACCGGTCAAAGTTTAATAATTTTACCGTGGCCCGCTGAGGGGGGGGACGTTGATTGTTTATATTTTATAATATATATATCATTATTATAATTA